TACAATGTTTTTGTAGCCAAACTTTAAAAAATTATGTTAAAAAGAATCAGGAAAACCTCTAAAAATTGAAATAGACTAAAAGCATCAAGTTTTGATAGCCTGAATATTTATCCAAATATTTCTTTATGATGTTTCCTCATCATATACTTAGGGAAAAAAAATAATGGATGCTTTTTGAATATTATTTGATTGTTCAGAGAGTTGATTTTTTCGATAGAAAAGGGAAAAAAATCATAAAAACCGGCTTGTATTCTATGGTTTTCCTCATGAAACCTTCGCTTTCAAAAGAAATCCTCACTCATTTTGGAATATGCTGATCTATGCTCCTACGAGATCGAAATTTGATGAAAAGTAGCTTTAATTATTGAGAATAGCACTCGATGTAGATTTTTGCGTTGATTCTCAATATGATCATAATTTTTTTTTGGAACTGAGGCTATGATGACTAAATCTTATAGTAGAAACGCTTATTTATGTTTTCTCCCTTTCCTATCGTAAAAAAAGCTAATTGTCTCGACAATCAATTACTATTTAAAAAGCATTCATTATTTTATTTCTAACTATATGATGACAGGCTAGTCTAATTTTTTTGACGGAATTTTCTGAAATTTTATTATCAAAACATCGTCTGAATATGTAAAAACAACATTTTCAAAAGTAACTAGTCAAGCTCTATTCAATGGTAACAAAAAATACCAAAGAACTATTTAGAGTGGGCTCACCATTTTGGCTTTTTCTTCTCAAAGGACAAACAATCTAAGGAAACTAAAAAGAAATACTCACCAGAAACAGTGTTCGATACTTGTAAGAAATTCTTAATTCGGTGACACTTAGTATCTTGGATAAACGGTGGGCGAAAAGATGGCTATTCTGACCAACTTTATCTGTCATAAAAGTTTGGAATTTTTTTTGAACCGTTCTCCTAAAATCCGAAATAGGAGAAAAGAATGTATCCTTGAATAAACAAATCTAAAGTTCATTACAAACATATTATCCTGTATGTAACTCATCACGATAACGTGGATTTTCTTTTGATACTCCTTCACAGAGCAGATAATGCACTTGGTAGCGTTGAAGACAAACAAATATCTATAAAAAAGCTTAGTTGAAGAAAACTAAGTCCCTACCTATTTCTGATAAGTATAGCAATGTTGATTCAGCATCGTTTTCGTTGTCATTACTATAAAATTCAACAAGAATAATGTAAAGATAATTAAAGAAAGTGTTTCATCAACCATCTGAAAAATGATGTATTCATATTTCGTTTCTATTTTCTAAAAAACTGAAAAACAAGAGACAGAACAAAGAAAAGCACAATTATGCTTTGTTTTGTTTTTCTTAATGTTTAGTTTCTAAATCAGATACACGTGTAACACGTGTTATTTTTTGCAACATGATTTTATGCTAATTTTTAGTTTGTACCATTATACTTAAATAATAGTGCCCTTCTCAGACATAAACCACATGTCATTAATCAAAGTATCAAAACTGTTTCTTTATTAGGAATAAATTTGAAATATTGAACCCTATAGATCTAACATATGAAATGCTGAATAAAGTTCTGAATACATGAGAATACCAGGGATTTTGCGTTCTGTTGTATCATTCACAAGTCAATGAAGGATCTTGATGATGTCACTGAAAAGAGTTATATTTTGTTTGATGGTCTCCATGACCGTTTGCAATTTGAACCTTGTTTTGTCCAGTTCACTGCTGGAAAAACAATTGCTTTCATTTATCCATCACTGATTCAATTTAAAAGAAGCATGATCTTTCAATGAAAATAAAAGTAAATAGGTCATAAGTAAGATAAGCGTTCTTGAAATAATACAAGGAAACTGAGTCGAAAACGTTGGTAACATTTACAATAGCACAATTTTTCCTCAAATAGAAGGTCAATCGGTCGCATTATTTATGGTCTCATATGACTAAATAGCTGAAACAAAAAGTTTAAAAAAACTTTTCATCAATATTATTTACGTGTCAACTGTTTATATGAAGATTTGGTTAATGTAAATGGAATTCGTTCAAAATACAATTTACTACAATTGTATTTAGTTTTCTTTAACTGATCTGAATGAATACAATTATCCACGTAGAAATGGTTTGTCGAAAGAGAACGAATCAATATATGCAAAGAGTAATTGTAAAATCGTTTATATTCGTTTCGAAAAATACTACTGCATTTTTGTGTGAAAAGAAATGTATTCTTAGGCATAGAATGCACACTTCATTGATCATGTTCAAATCTGCGTTTTCAATCATATATCTTTTTTTAATCTGAAGAATATGCTCTTTCATTCTACAAACGTGTTGAAATTTCTATGAGATAATATACAAGAAAAGCATAGTTTTAAGCAATAGACAACGACGTTTTACTGAATACGTTTCTAATTGAGAAAGATCTCTTCTTCTGTGATGCATATGAATATATACCACATTAATGAAATCAAATGGTAGTGAGAATAAAGTTTTCGTAAAGAAAGCATGAAAAACTTCTTGACAGTGCGAGATAGATGATCACTGCAGTATCATTGACACACCATTTTCTAATAATAACATGTATTGGTAGTTAAGTTTAATTTTCTATGGATTTGTTTTTATGAATTGTCCAAGTCAGAGCTGACGCAAGACTGAGGTGACAGAAAGAAAATACTGCCCATACTGAACTGCTAAGTAATAATATGTACGCAAATGCTAAAAAAACAATCTATAAACTTCGAAAATCATTGAAACTAGGTTGTTTCAGGAACATTTTGAACTATATTTTTCTGTATTTATTTAGGAGGGTCCTTTTATGGCAAGTGAACTTGGTTAACTTTCTGTTAAATCGAAATATGGAATCCTTCAAATGTAGGATTCATATCACGATTCAGTATATATAATTTGATCTGAAAAGACTCATTAAATAGCACACCTATTTAATACAACGGCATTAAAAGTATTAGATATGTATTTAAGCAATTTATTGTGAAAAACAATGTATCTATATTTTCAATTACCATCCATAACCATAACCTCCACCGTGTGGAAATCCACCACCGAAGCCTCCTGGAAGGCCGTGATAGCCATATCCTCCTCCGTATCCACCATATGGCATTCCGCCAAACCCACCGTATGGCATGCCGCCAAGTCCACCATATGGCATTCCACCATATCCACCAGGGTGACCACCATGGTGATGATGATGCTGGTGACCTAAACCACCAAAGAGTCCATCTTGACGTCGATCCATTGTTTAAATTAAATCAGACTACAGTGAATATAAAGATGAAAAAATTTTGTTAATTATTATTAACCAATTTCTACACTTACTTGTTCTAAATATAAAACTTGTATTTGAAGAAACTTTCTACCTTTTATACTAAATGATAGCGTGTATCGTTGTTGTTTTTATTGATACATCGTAAGTTCGAAAAAATCTTATGAATAAACATGTATTTATCTTTACGATCGTAAAGGTTTGACTGATATTTTTTGCGTCATGAGAAATGCAACGCCTTTAGCTCTCTCAATGAGCAATGTCCACTCGTGCGTAACAATATAGATCAATATTCAGGAGTTGCTCATAATGATATCTATTTAAAAACATAAATATATTTATAATTCTATTATTTTCTTATTCAATAGGTGTTTTACGCAAATAGGCGTTATTTTTGTAATTCATAATAAAAAATAAATTTATTATGTTTACTATTTCATAGTGTATAGAAATATATAAAAATAACCAATCAATCTTATATCAGATTGCACTCATAATAATGCAAAAAGAAAGAAACAATCATTTTTTTAAATTTCTGTATTTTATCCGAAGAAGATAGTTTATCGAATAAAAGAATGATGAATCTTTGAAGTCATCGTTAAGTTTGAACTTTCGTTGATGTTTTGATTGTTTCTGATCACTATTAGGCTATTATTTAAATGAGCAAAAGAATAAATGAAATGGTGAGTAAGTGAAATAATTATAAAATCAGTAAAAAAAAATGGATCTTCAATAAATGGAATAAATAATCAGTAAATTATTTAAATGATCAGCTAATAAAATAGTTAAGTTTGACAGTTTATTTAAAATCCAGTAACTTAAACTAAAGAGTAAGTACAAAAATGGAAATGTGTTATAGTGTGACTCACTTGTTTTTTTTTTCTTTGTGTGAAATCAAATAATGCATTGAGCTCATGCGAAAAGAAAGATTAATAATCATATAGGTCAAATAGATGATACACATATTGCAAAAGAAATAATAGGAGATATTGAAATGCTTTAATTGTCTAACACTATAGCTGTATTCCACTGAGCATCAACATTATTTATGAAGAAGTGAAAAATGAGCAATAAGCAAAAAAATTAATTGATACTAGATTTTTTGAATTTTGTCAAGAGACAGCCAATAAAGCAATCAAAGATAATGGAATGTTTAGAGAACGTCGTGTTATACCAAGATTTTTGAAAATAACTTCGAATATTGTTAATAACTGATCAATTGAGCATGATGGTACCTCAATTAATGGGAAAATGTATTGCTACAGAGCCAACAATATCTTTAGAATTACGAACTTTATCGCATCCATGGGCTGAATAAACAAAAGATTTAAATTGTATTTCGAATGATTCTTCAAAAACATATTATATATCCGCTTGTGATTTACAATCGATTACACAAGTCGATATAAATAAATATAAAACTAAAAAGTGAACAACTTTTAATCAATGTAAAAAGCCATTTGATACTTGGTGTACGGAAATGGAGAATGATGAAGATTAAAAAAAACAAAATGCAACTGTCCAGATTCTTTCAAGAATTATATATGCAAATACGTTATTGCTATGACTATTCGTTTGAAATATTGCAAACCACCATCACCAGCAAAAGCAGTGCCGATCGGGGAGAAAAGAAAAAGAGGTAGGCCAGCAAAGATTAAGCCTCCTTTGCTAGTACAGTAATTGAATTTGCATATTCTTTTTTTTCTTCCATTCTTTGAATTTCTGCTTAATATGCCTTTGGATATCTTCTTATCTATTCTGTATTTCTTTTATTTATTAAAAAACAAGTACATTCACTTACTATTATTTCTTTCTCGCTGATTATGATTTTATTGTTTATGACCAAGTCAATTTTGTATATCCTCTAGTACAGTATGAGGTTGTTACTTTTTTAATTCGAGGAAATCGAAGCCATTTTATCAAATATTTCAGACTTTTATGAGGTTTGATTTCTATATGAAGTGAACAAGATAAAGGTTGTAAATTTAATAAAGTTCGTATTGAATATCGGAGACACAAAAAACAATAATGGGTCCTGTCATCTGTAGTTGCTATCTATACAGAAAACCTTTGAACAGAGAACATGCAAAAATGTGTAGATCCTCTTGATAATTTGTTAACCGAGATTATGTTCATCACCGCGCAACATAACATGAAATCTCTTTGAAGTATTTACATGATATTGCTTGCAGAATGAATATTGATAAAATCTATAGATTGATGTATGAGTTTACTTAGAAAAGTTAATTAAAGCATCACATTAACAAAAGATGACGTTAAATAGAAACAAAAATGAATGATATTTCAGTCTCAGCGAACCACTCAATTAAAGTAATCGATTATATTTCACTTCGTTATATTGTTTCAACGTCGCTTTAAGTTATTTTTTTAAAATCAGCGTATAATTCTCATCAACACATAAGCAAAACAATGATCAGAAGAATAGTAAATTATACCATAATGTAAACGATCATCCTAATGCTAACAGTTTTCATCATTTTCAAGTCGTTCACGAGTCGGTGTCAATGACATGAATTAATAAGAATGTTGGCTTTACCATGTTCTTATTTATGATAGAGAGTCTTCTTGCAGATTGAGCAATACGATACATAAACGTCTGTAGACAAGTAACCCAGATCAATTGTGCTTGGTCGTACACGGCCGTTTACCAATTATTGTCGGCGCCAGAATTAAATAGGGGTGGGTGTAAGCTCAATAACTCGACAACCGCAATAGCTAGCGATCTGCGGTTTTCGTCAATCGAAAGAGGAGGAGTTGGGACGTCTTTTTCTC